GTTAAGCACATAAAAGGCACGAGAAGAAAGCCCTGGTAGTGCCTTGGCAGGGCGAGGGATCCAGGAGGCTGGCTAGGGTCTAGGGTGTGGTGGCAGCGGTGTGTGGGTGAAATGCTGGGGTCGGTATTGCAAGCTCCCAGAGAGCTTCAGCTGGAGCACAGAAGGGAAAATGGTCTGGGTGGTTCTCGGCACAAGTCCTCCTGTGCTGTGGCCTGAACCAAGGACAGACCCAAGGACAGTCAGTAACTCCCAGCGTGAGTTACTTGTCAGGCAGGAAAAATCAGTGCAGTGGGTTTAGGAGTAGCTGGAAGCGAACACCCTCAGTTTAGGAGCGTACCAAGGGGACAAGGACTAATGGGATGAAGACAATTAATGCAGCTCTCTGGTGTTTTGCTGGTGGGAGTGGTGGCTGTCTGCCAACTACGCTCAGTTTATCTTTCTGGTTTGCTCCTCAGAAGAGAACGAGATAAACCCCAGAGTCCTGCAGCTCATCCACGGTGAGAATATCAAGGTAAGGGAAGGACAGCTGGAGCTCAGCAGCCCTGAACCAGCTGCACTGGAGTTCTGGAGCTGGCAGGTCCCATGGACTGGGGGATCCGTGCTGCCTGAGGCTGCCTTGCAGCCGTGCCTGTGTGGCAGGGCAGCCTGAGGAATAGCAGCCTAGCAAGTATTTCCTTGCTTTTGAATTGGAGACAGGTCTCAAAATGCACCTAGACAAAAATTTATTTTAATAAAAGCTTTAAAAGCACCACTAACCCTATTTGGGCTGTAGTGGGCAGGAGAGGTGCAGGTATGTTCACTGCACTTCCCCTCTGTATGGCATAGAGGGCACAGGTGAACCACGTTCCTCAAAGCATGATTCTGCCATCTGAATTTCCATGTAGAAAGAAACTAGATTATTATAAGCAGAGGTTGGCAGCAGCTGGTGTGAGAGATGCTGATACCACCTCGTTGTTTGCAGTATGTGACCCCCGTGATAAAATATGACAGGAACGGGTTCAAAGCGCGAGACCGGCTACTTGTTCTGACCCAGTCCTCGGCGTATGTGGTGGAAATGGCCAAGATCAAGCAGAAAATAGACTACGCCACTCTGAAAGGTAAGTGTGGAAGTCTGTGGGATTTGCCTTTCTGCCAGTGACCCTGGGGGTGGAAAGTTGAACTTCTGAAACTTAGCCTTTCAAAGATATTTGAAGCAATGATCTACATGAGAACACTTTCCTGGGCGATGGATAAAGGGTCTGTGTGTCAGCGTGCAGTTCCTTGAGGTGTAAATTCTGAGTAAGGCCATACTTCTTTGAAATACTTAGATGCAGGAGGACATCACGTTCTGCTGAAATAGAGGGGGGGGAAACTTTCCTATTTTGTAGGTATTTTTGTATTTTTTATAATCCTGCTATTGTCTGAACTGCAGTCCAGGGGTAGAATATATACTTTCTCCCTCTTCCCTTACCAAAACAAAGGTAGCATGGAAAGGTATGGAGCAAACAACTAACGCACTGTGTTTAAATAACTCCTGTTGGAAATGTGTCACAGACACGTGGATGACAGATAGTGATCTTGAGCAGGTATTTTGAAAACTTCGATGAATTCTTCAAAGTAGTCACTTTGCATTTTGCTCTGAGCAGGGGGCTGTACTTTCTTCACACCCAGTAAGGTACAGGACCCCTTTGGGAACGTGACTTCCTTCTGTAAACTGGGCCGGCGTCGCTGCCCCTGTGGGAACAGCACCCTCATGCTGGGAAGGTGATGATGGTGCTGCGGAGCTGTCTTTGGTAGTTTTCCCTCTAATTCTTGGATTTCTTTTGAAGGCATTTCCACCAGTAACCTGAGCGATGGGATTGTGGTCATTCATGTTCCCGACGACAGCAAACAGAAGGTAGAAAATTGTAACGTAGCTACTGTGAGCTGGTGGTTAGAAGCAAGGTCTTGCAGCTGACACTTAATATCTTCTATGAAATACTGAGATTACACAGTTACTGCTGTTTACTAATTCTGTAATCAGCTAGACCTTTACATTCTTGTGGCCTCACCATGAAAGCTTTCATTTTGCTGTTTGTAGAGTCAAAGTTGCTATAAATCCCAAATAGTCCCTGGAAAGGATATTTACAAACCAAACCTGTTTGTGACTGCTGTAATTGCTGTGTAGTTATCATCACCTCTCCACAGCAGTCACTGCTCTGCCATTAGAAATGAGTTTCTCTGAATACACAACTACTGAATGGCTTTACATGCTGGGGCGGTCCCAAATGACTTTATGCCTCTTTTTTGCTTGTTTGTTTAATTTGTTTTGTTTTGGTTTGTTTTTGTTTGTTTTTTTGGTTTTTTTTTTTGGTTTTTTGTTTGCTTGTTTTTGTTTTTTGTTTTGTTTTGGTTTTTTTTTTTTCCCCCAGGGAGATGCAATACTTCAGTGCGAGCATATCTTTGAGACGGTCACTAAACTCTGCATGCTGGCCAACAAGCAAAACCTTGTGAAAGTTGTGAAGGGAAGGTAAGGAAGGAAGTTGAATGGGTAGTGTTGTGCAGACAGTATTTTATGGAAGAACCTGCTTCAAAAACTTCTAGGCCTGGACTACCTGCCTCAAAACTATCAACATCACCCCAGCAGACAATGCCCAAAGCTGATTAGGCCTGTTGCAATAGCACGGTTGTTTTCATGGCTCCCTGTCAGAGGCACAGGGGAAAGAAGATGGGGCTGCTGTGGAACAAGAAAATACATTAAAAATCATGACAGCCTCTTTCCCACAGCTTGCTTCCATGATGGTTGTGGTTGCACCTTGCTAGGTGTGCTGCTCTGCTCCAAGAGCTGCCCACAACCCATCTGCCTAAACCCCCAACTTGTTTATAGGTGACTGTACTTTAAAAACACTATTTTTTTCAGGCTTCCACTGATGTGACCTGGGTGTGAGGGTTGTGGGTTTAGTGGTTTCACAGCAGATCTTATTAGCACCAGCTCTGCGGAAAGCCTGCTGAGCTGAGCCTGAGGGTCACTTCAGGATAAATGTTCCTCTCCCTAAAAGACTGAGAAGGTCCCAAAACGTGATTGCTGGGCACAAGAACCTTCTCGGTCACACCACCGAGCTAATGGCAGGTGGATGCAGTCTGTCTCTCAAATCTCTACGTGAATTGGAACTGGCATATGAAACCTGTACTGCTCCAGCTTTTTCTCTCTGGCCTTTGCATTTCAATTGTAATTAGATTCTGTGTGTTCAGTGGTTTTTCTCCAGGTCAGATCTGCTTATCTTCTAGTGCTTAATTGCACCAGGAAAATTCAAATGCCTGGACCAGGCAGGCATGCTCTATTCATCAAACCCTTCTGGGCTGTGTGGTATAATGCAATTGTTTAGGAAATTTACCTAAGCTGGAGGGCTCTGATCTTCTAATCTAACAAGATTTGCCAAGGGAACAGAAATAAAGGGGGCTTAGAGTAAAGCCTATTGCAAGGAAAGCATCTAATGAGTAATTCTGTGTTTGCAGTCTTCAGTTTCGCATTGGCTCTGGGAAGGAAGGGACGATGGTGTTTACCGTTGGGCAGGAGCCTCAGGTCTTCAAAGCCAAAACTGGACAACTAACAGTGGTAAGGCCTCATCTGAAAGCTGGGAATGTGACTTGTGCTTTCTCCTTTGCTGCTCAACCCCTGCAGAAAGCACGGCTGAGTTCTAGCAAGGGCCCGATTCCTCCTCCAGAGCAGCCTGGGCAGAGCTGGTTGGCTGTCCCTGCAGTCCAGAGAGGGAGGGAGTTGTCTTTAGTTGCCAATTGTTCAAAAAGAAACAACACAACCTCTTTTCCCAAAGACAGGAGGCCTCCAGGACATAACATCTGTACTTGATTTAAAGACTCCTTCCTTTTCTCATCTCAGGTGTCAACCCAGCCAGTGTCTTGATGAGAAACAGTTCCTGTTCCTGGTCACGGTCCTGGCCTGGAACGGAAAGGAGCCTGCAGGATGAGACCAGCACTCACATCTCCCCTGGAATCTTTGATGCCATAGGGCTGCCGTGATTTGAGAGTTTGCTTGCATCTGTTAGGCTCTTTTTTATAGCTTAAAACTATTCAACTATAGCTAAATAAATTCCATTATGTTGCTCTAACAGTCCAGTGAGCATGGATGCTCATTACGCAATCACAGGGAAGTGTTTAAACCAGAAGTTACTGTTGCACACACAAAATGTCTGTCTCTTTGCACTCAGCAAAGCCCAGAGCTCTGAGATAGAGCAAAAAGGCTTCTCTAGCTGTACTCTGGGTCACAGCTCCCCAGAGCTGCGTCAGGGGCAGATCGCTGAAGTTATCTCTGGTCTGAAAACCCCTTTTCTCTCAGGCAGGCTGGCAAAGCAGCTTGGGCAGGGGGAGGAGAGATGGGTAAATGTTGCCGATAGTTGGGTTGGTGCATCAGCCTAGGCAGCTGCTTGGGGGGAATTCTCAGTAAGCTGCTTTCTTGTCTGCTCTGCTCTGGCGGGGGAAGATCTTTGCTTTTAGAGTAACGCTGTCCTTGTGGTCCCTGCACAGCAGCTGCACCGCGCTGCAGTGGAAGCAAAGCTGTCGGTGACCAAACTGCCTGGCTTGGTGCAGCCTCTTTCAGATGAAAGCGGCCTCTGGCTGCTGAAAAACCTCCACCTCGAGCCCCAGCACTGGGCTCTGCTCGTGGAGGGGGGTGTTGATGTCTTGCTGATGTTTCAGGTATAAATCTGTTGCTGAGGGGCCCTGGGGCAGGGGCCAGGGGAGGGGGTGGAAGGTGGGAATTCCGGGCTGGTGCAGCTCTACTCACCCTGTGCTCGCTCTGCTGCCTCATGTAGAGGCAAACAGGGGTAGCTCCAGCTTGCTCAGGCTAGGCTGAAACTAGAGCCTGCCTTCACTTGCTGCCTTTAAATCCTGGGGTCTGCTGCAGCCTGAGAGCCCGTGGGCTGGGGGGGATGATGCCCAGTATTTCTTCCTGGAAGTTCCTTCCAGCTCCGTAGACCATGAGGACAGCACGCTTCAAACAAGTAATAAAGTAACTCATGTAAATATGAAATATCTAATTTATTGTGTTATATTTAAAAAAAAAAAAAAAAGTACATATTGCAAACATCAACCATACACTGAAATCCAGCTTAAGCTTTTTTTGTGCATAAGTACAAAGTGGGAGGGAATGATTGTACAGAACAGATAAATTTCCTGTTCCTGTCCAGGAAATGGAACAACTCCCTTAAGCCTGAAAGGTTCTGCCTCACCTTTGCTCTGAGGTGAGGCAGGAGCTTGGAGCCTTCCCCAGGGCTCTCACCAGGGGCTGGCCAGCAGCAGCAGAGCCTGGGGGGGCCCCAACCTGCCCTCTGGAAATCCAGGAGCAGCCGCTTGGAGAGAGGGGGAGTAAAGGCCCTGGCAGGGAGCCTGGGGTCACTCCTGCCTCTACCCCGCAGCCTGAGCTGGGTTACAAGCTCCAGGTTTTAGTCCAGCTTTGCTGCAGTCTGCTGATGGGCCAAATCACTTCTACAAGATTGGAGTCAGCCCCAGCTGCAGTCCTGTCACTGTTAGTGGTGGTTGTGGGGTGCTGGAGAATTGAGGCAGCCAGGTCTGTGCTCCCTGGTAAGAGGCAGCAGTACTAGAAAACCTCAGGAGCTGCACCAGACCCGGCCTTCACCTGGGAGCTGGAGAGGCAAAACCAGTTACTGTAAAAAGGCTCAAGAGCTTGAGGACATTGGTGCAAGGGCATTAACAGAGCGTCTCACCACAGAGCCAGGACAAGGAGCCAGCAGGTAAAGGTCATTCTAACACAACAGCAGTACATCTCTATAACACACCTACAGCACACAGAGGGATGTCAGGAAGGCCTAAGGGCAGAGTAACAAAACTGAAACTTGCTCAAACTCTCCTGGAGTGCCTTACTAAACCAAGAGCTATAGAAACCGCTGTACAAAGATTAAAAATAACCATTTGCTGTTTTTCAAGGACTTGAGTTTGCAAAAACCTGAACGAGGAAATTCTGAAGCCGGTTAAGAATCTATTTACAGAGAGGTTAATCACACCGCTGAGCTGGGCCTGCTGCGTCGCACTGCTGTCACCGCGTGTCACCTCCCGGAGCTGAGCCTGCTCCTGCCCACCCCCACCCCCAGGCTGGGACTGGATTTTGTGGGAGCAGCCGGGGGGGGTTGCGGGAGTCTCCCCGGTGCTGTGTGGGGACAGAGGGCAGCTGAGCGCTGCTGAGGCTGGACCGAAGGGCTTCACCCAGCGCCGAGTCCAGACCCCTTCAAGGGCAGTAGCTCTGTTCCGGGTGCTCAAACAGCCCCGTAAGTGTCAAAGTACACAGGGCGGGAGAAACAGCGCATGGCAGAGGCCTTGCCTCCCACACTCCCCAGCTTATCACGGACGGACGGGAAGAAGGGAGAGGCACGGCCTCCTTCACAACAGCAATCTGCACTGTGGACTTCTACAACCCCTAAGCGTGTTGCAAACAGGTGTAAGCACTGCTTAAACTAGAAGCCCGTAACTGTCAGGACGTAGCTGAAGCTGCTGAACTACAGGATAACTATTTACTGTTGAGCTCTTGCTTATAAATCGGTAGCTGAAGAAGAAAGAGTAGAGGAGACAGGTACAACAACCCCATCTGCCACAGAGAGCAGCTGTCTGGAAGTTAGAAAAGGCTTTGGTTACTAGAAAGATGACCTCAGCCTAACTTTAAAATCTTTACTTGATGATCCAAAATTGTACCACTGAGCAAATGCTTAATGCTGTATTTTAGCCTCTGCAGACAAGCTAGACATAGTTTGGGGTGTAACTACTGTATGAAATAGAAAGCAGAGTAACGCAGCTGGTGATGCTGGCAACACCTTTGGTTTTAAACTGTTAACATTAACAGCCCTGAGCCAGGAGTAGGAATCCTTGCAGCAGGAAGCTGGGCAAAAGCAAATGCCCATCTCGCTGAGGAACAGGCACATGGAGCTGCTGCTCCGTCCGAGCGGTCCGGCCATCAAGGCCAGCGCTAGATATTCCAGATGAAGGGTCAAAAAAACTCTAGAATAGGTCAAAGTACTCCGGTGTCTGCCAAGCGCAAGTTTAAGACTTCCTACATCAGGTTTCTCTCCCTGTCAGGATTTGTTACATTAACCCTTACAGCGGTGGCTCTGCTCATTACCCTTTAGCACCTGGTCCTACTGCATAACACACGATCTTCCACTGTAATTGTTACTTGACTCCACAATAGGCAACAAGAGACGAGGAGGTAGATAAAATATTCATTCATAATAGAAAAGGACGCTTAGAAAACTAGACTACGGAGGTCTTCTCTACACAACATTTTAGCTCTGCCCTTTCACACACAGCTGCCGTTTCTGAAAAGGCTTGGGATATGCTCAGGATAAAGTCGAATGAGGACTAACGGCCTCTGGGCCCCTGTCTACTCCTCCTCCCCAGGGTACTCGCGCTGCCCTCGCTCAAAGCAAGACGATGCTCCAGTATCAGTTACAGAACTGAACTCGGGCTGGCAGGGAGCGTTTGAGCCTGCGATGAGTAGTGCTTTACCTGTAGTAGAGAACACGCAGCTTACTGCCCTGCTGTCTGCGGAAACAAACTCCCCAGCTGAGACCCGGCGCCGGGCGGAAGTTCTAAGCGGCAGCACCACCACCCTAAGGAAAAGTAATCACGTACAATTTGCTCCTGGATCCTCCTTTTGGAAGAATTTTAACATCATCCACCCTCAAACTGCACGAGTAAAGCTCAGAGAGGGGGTCTCCACCGTTCAGGGCTGCAGCAGCTCCACAGAACCCCTGGAGGAGCTGCAGGGAGCCACAGCCAGCCGAGCCCAAGCAGCTCCCCCTGCTCCCGGGGGCTCCCTCTGCCCCCCGGCACTACAGGAATTGAGCCAACACGTGTCATTTCTCCTTCTGAGAGTCGTGCCGAGGCACTTCTGAGCTACCAACCCCACCGCCTGCAGGCCTGGGAGAAAGGGAGCTCCACAGCGGCTCCGGTGTTTGGATCACTGCACCTCTCCCCCGCCTGAACACCCAGGGGGGGACAGGGTCAGGGGGTGCCCGGAGGGAAGAGGTCTGGCTGACTGACCTTTTGTCTGGTTTTGTTTTTAAAGTGCAGAAAAATCACTAAAGCCAAAGGAAGCCAGCCCTCTTCCTCTCTAGCCACAAAATAGCGAAGAGTGCTAAAAATTCAGGGCATTCCTCCTGATGCTCAATAGGTCCTTACAGTATCTATCGCATGCCCAGTAACCTTATTTATTCTTGTCCTAGAACTACTGCATTTAAATACCCCAAATAATCTAGTTTGTTACAAAACGTAATTTACAGACTTTGCTGAGCAGAAGTTAAACCGCCTGGTGCTCCGCCGCAGATACCGAGCGGGCGAAGGGCAGCACCGTGCAGGCCACGCCGCGCAGTCTGTCGCTCAGCTCACTGGTGCAGATGGGCCCTGTCGTCCGGACGTTTAATGTGAATTCTTCGCACGCGTTCGATGCGCTCTCGCTCCTCGTCTTCATCCAAGTGATGGGAGCGGCCAGCCGCCCCTCCCGTGGCTTCCAAGAGCGCGTTGTCGGGTCCCCTCCCGTCCTGGGACTCGTACAGCAGAATGTTCAGTGTCTCCTCGTAAATGCGGGCTTCTGGGAACTCCACCTGCCCCCCAGGGAAGAGAAGGTCACTCTCACCTATCACCAGTCACCGGGTTACCTCATTTTTAATTCCTGACACCTTTCTGCTTTTAAAACATCTGATTTGCGCTCTAGCTACAGGAATCCTTCCTCGCACAATCGTTTCTCTCCTATTATTTGCTTTCAGCTTTTAAGACCCAGCAACCAGGGTTTTTTTCAGAACTGGCCTGCCCACAGAGCAGACTCAGATTTCTCCTGGGAAAGGTGAGAAGCCACGGGGAGGGCGCGCCACTGCTCACCAGGATCTGTCTTTACGCAGGGACATAAACCAAACTTGGTTAAATGCGCAAGTTTGTCTAAAGATAAAGAACTGGACTGGACTTGCATTATGGAATATCACAATTGCCCTGTGTGAAGTGCCACAGCCAAGCCGTCCCAGCCCTGACGAACCCCCAGGATGAGCTGCCCTGTGCTGCTCCCCCCTCTGAATGGCATTGATTATTCTATAGAGATGCTAAACAGTGAAAGGAGTGTTCAAAACGGGAACAGATGTCAGGATGCCAGTTGCTGGAAGCATTCAGGGGTTTACTCGTACCTTTGTCTGTTTTTTCTCAGTAGCATAAACAATGGAAGTGCAACAGACTTCAGCAATCTTCCGCCCCTGCCCGTAAAAAGACCAGCAGCAGATCTCATCTCCAATCACATCTTTTATAAAGAGCACTCTCCCGTTAAACCTCAAGGACAGCTTATCGAACAGCTCGATGTTCTTCAGCATGTTGTCGTCAGAGTTGCTGTGAGAGACGAAGGCAGGCAGCTGTCATGTTGGAGTAATTAAGGGAGCACACAGATCAGAAGAGGGGGGTCGGGCAGCGAGGGTTTACCGGCCCGTACCCCCACTTCACTTTGACTTACTCTGCCTCTACCATGGGAGTGGGTGCCGGGGACTGCGCGGGATAACCCGGCTCACTAGTACAAGCAGGAAAACCTACTGCTGAAGCAGCAGCAAGACAGTATCAGCGGTACCACCAATAACACTCTCCGAGGCCATTTCATCTGCCTACAAAATTCTACAAAACCATTCCTAAGCTCAAGCTCAGCACCAGCTGGATGGAAACAGTGTTACGCCATGAAACATATACAGACATAAGGAAAGGGGGAGAAGGTCTCAGAGTTGATGATTTTCCCACTTAGTGGGAACGCTGCGCCATGGAGGCTTCCTGTATTCCACCACTGTGCTGTAGCCCATGGGGAATGCAGGCCAGCAGCTGGCCAGGAGCCTTTGCCAGCTGCACCTCCGTGTTAGAGGAACTCCTCTGGCACAGAAATAGCACACGCTCAGGCTGCCACTGATGACAGCAGACTCCCTTTGGACTCGAGTTTGAAATTAATTGGGAAAAAATTGAGTGCATGCCAGCACCAATCTGTCATTGGTTCTGAGTGATGAAAAAGCAAATGCTTATCATGGACGTTAGTCTATGAAAACCTTCAAAGAAGTCCAGCTGAAGCCACTTACCTGGTGTAGGAATATTTGTTGTTGCTTCTGTTATATAGCAACTTCACTGCTGGCTGTAAAAAACAAACCACAGAGCCGTTACAGGAAGAGCTGGGATCTGAGCTCAGTCCAAGACCCTGCAGCAGAGAAGCTGCGATATGACATGACACCATCAGGCCCGAGCCCAGCGAGATTTTGTTGTCGTTGCTGCAAAACTGTCATGCACAGGTTGGCAACGGGGCTGCAATCCCTCCTGACCCCTTCTGTGACTCGACCATCCTCTATTCTCACCCGCTCTCTGCCTTTTTGCCAAGGCTAAGCATTGTGACCAGCATCCTCCCCTCTACCTGACACAGCGAGCAGGCTTCCAGGAACAGGAGCCATTGAGTCACGTTAGCTAAAGAAAGTGTCTGTCATTAATAACCGGAGCGGATAAATACACGGAAGATCTAATAGCCCTGAGGATCTGCTCGATCAGCCTGCTACTGCCTACACCCTCTGTTTTAATACCTTAAGTGGAGAAATGCATGGCCAAGCCCAGCCTGAGCAACATTCAACTTTCAATTCAGAAGAAACATTTAGTCTGCTGTAGATTTTCAGTGCTCTGCAGCTCAACAGTTGAAGCGCATGTATTTTAGTGTAAGCCCACTGCTGAAAACTAAAGCCTATTTTCTACAGAATGCTTGGCCAGGGTCCCATGCAAGCACGGGGCCGCAGGCCAGCACCCTCCCAAGCCATCCCACAGCCTGGCCTCTCTTACCTTGTTAGAAGTGGCGATAAGTTTTTGCTCTTCTTTGGAAGACGTGATGACTGGTACCTTGCAGAATGGTTCATATGCATCTTTGTTCTGCTGAAACAAGAATCAAAGAGCAGCTGAATGTAAATGGGCCTTAGGGCACACTCAGATTCTCCGGGCAGGTCCGGCACAGTCTGTGCAGAACAGCTCAGTGTGCAATCTGTTCCCACGCCGCACCGAGCGGCCGCTTCTGTGCCATGCTCTGAACCGGGCTGGCACTCCAGCTGCCAGGCTGCGTTCCTCGAGATGTTCATTTCTGCTCTCTACCATTCTGCAAACACAAGGACTCAATGTTCTGGATTACGGCTTCACTCAAAGAGGACACCAGTAACAGCGGTTTCAAACCTAAGATGAACACCTCGAAGGAAAACAAAGAACAAAACAGGACTCGCAGCAGCCTGTGGCTCCAGGAAGCTGCTCTGCTCCAGCCAAAGGACCTACCCCATCCTGGTCAATGCTGGAAAATTTAACTTTTGTCACAGAGCTCACGCTGATGACAGATCATTTCACCGTGTAAGACCCTGGCAGCAGTGGAGGATGCAGCAGAGGAGCCAGGCTTCTGCTCCTTGCACACTCCCAGGTGTCAGCAGAGGAAAACTGGGCAGCTGTTTATCCCTCACAGTAGCTGGGCAGCACTAAACGTTGAGAACAACTCGGCGCGTTTTTTCTGGATGTGACCAGGCTCCAGCAGATCAATGACATGAAGTATTTCAATTGGATCCCAGCCCTCAAAAAAGGCATTAAGAAGAAACCAGCAGAAAATCTTGCTCTGCCCAGATGCTGCTTTCAACCCAGAGCAGCCTCCTCTTCTTGACCCCAGCCAGAGGAACCTAACTCCTCCTTAGCTCTGCAACCTACCTGCAAGGCAGCTTGGCACTCGTCCACCAGCCCCTGGACCAGGTAGTACTTCGCTTCAGCCAACAACTCTTCTATCTCCCTGCGGCTCTCGGGGAGCGGCACAGCCCCGTCGCGCAGGTAGTTCAGTATTGTCCCAAAATGTTTCCCACAGCGGTCGATCAGGATCCAGCCTAGGGACAGAAGAAGCCCACAGTATAGGAGGAGCAGAGGTAAATGTGGCAAAAGGCCCTGACACTGGCCTGGGACTGCTCTACCAACCAGGTTCCTGCCAAAGAGAGACTAACTCCAGCTCCTTGCTTAAACTGGCAAGCAGAGGAGCAGAGAGCACGGGGAATTTACCATCTCCTTCTGTGTTTCAAGTGCAGAGTATGTGGGAGTAAGGTAGGAAGCTCACTTGTTTCTCACAGCTCTCCAGTTATTGACAAATGATTAACTGAAACAGAGGAATGAATACTTCTCATTCTCAAACCAAGCAGCTCTGTTCTCCCTCTACTCCCGAAGCCCTGACACATTATTATTTCCTTGCTTTCTGTCTTAGGGCCCTGTTCCATATATGTGTGGCTGTTTCCTACAAACAGCTTACAAGCGCCAGCCCGACATGACCATGTAAAGGTCGCTGCCCCCGAACGCAACGCGGGGACCCACGGCGATCCAGCAGATTTGCGAAAAGGTCAGCAAGGGAAAGGCAGCACAGGCTTGGCAGCGCCATGGCAAACACTGTTTCAGTCTCTGTATTCCCAAATTGCATTAACTGGGTAGAACAAAGCGGTTATTAGCACGTCTTAAACTGCTGAAAGACGTGACGGCGTGCGTAAGCAGAATGTAAGGTACAGCCCCTGCCCCGGACCTCCCCAGCACAGCTACGCACTGACAAGGGTGTGAAGAAAAGAAAACGGAGCTACAACCACGATGCTTTCCAGTCAGCTGGTGGTCCAAGCATCTGCGCTTCCCCTCTTGCTGCCCGAATCAGGTTGGACCCTGAGAAATGTCAGGCAATGTTGAGGCTCGAGTTTCCATAAACGAACAGATGGCCACTCTTACGGGCTGCAGCTCAGGAATGCAGCGAGGAAACGCTTGTGGGGAAGGAGTCATATTTTGGACAAATAAGGAAAGTAGGTTAAAGCAGACCCTGTATGTTCTGCATGAATGGAATTACTAGTAAAGTCTGAACATTTGGTTCAATTTGGAAAGTGAGCACAGCCCTTTCATGCTGTTCTGCGGAGAACTGAGACACTCTCCAGCAGTTTACTACAGGCTTTCCATCTCCCTCGTTACCCTGCTGTCTACATAAAGCACAATGTGTGCTCGCAATTGTAATTTTACAGACTGTAATAACAAACCAGAAAGCTGCAGGCAGAACTAGAGCCAGAGAAATCAAATAACAAAAGGCTGATCCAAGCTAATGAATACAATATACCTATCCAACCAGAGCAGAAAAAAAGCCCATTTGTCAATGCAGAAGTATGCAAAGCAAACTCTCCCATTTTAAAGAGTCGAGGGAGGACAAGACATGGCAATAAACAAGGACATCTATATTCCACAAATGCAGCTGTTGACAGTTTACTAGAGTACACCAACATGTAGGGAGGGAAAGGGCAGGCTGAGAGCAGAATTGCAATCCCCAAACCTCTTTGTTATCATCTCTGCTGTGATTCTCTCCGTAGGCTGTAAAAATCTGCTGCAACTCGATGTTTACAGATGGCAAAACCAAATCAGAATTACTCATTTTCATGTGGAGGGGGGATGAGAAAATATTTCAAGCAGCATTGCAAAATACGAGTGACTGCTAAAACAGCTTTCAAAAAACCTTCTGTTTTAACCAAACAGCCAAGTGCGCAGCCAAAGCAAGATGACTCACAGGAAAATGACCCTGCTGCCACTCCATCATGGCTCTGCAGAGCCTAAGAAGTGGGTTTCAGCTATAGCCTTTTAAAGCTATTTTTTAATTGCAATGTTACAAAAATGTCCTGTGATCCATTTACTGAGGTAGGAATACATAATCCATGAACTGTATGCACATGCATTAGACTTTATCCAAACACTCAAACTAAACCAGACTACATTTTCTGACCAAGCCTTGACAGATGAAATAGTAGCCTGACACCAAAGACTGCCTGATGCTCAACAGTCTCACTAGCAGCTGAACAAAAACATGCATCTCAATCAACTGGTTAACAGCAGTGGGGAGTGAGGGGGGAAAAAAAAAAAAAAAAAAAAAAAATCACACTGCAGAAAAGAAAATTGGAAACAGATGGATGCACCTGGAAAACTCACATCCTTCTATCTGCTCATTACCATAAAAATAAATTTTTCAAAATATGCTGATTTGCTACAGTTCACGAACAATTTCTAAGGCGAAAATAATCAGCGGCCACCCACTGCCAGAGAACTCCAGTCTTTTCTGCTACGGCCCAACTAGCAGCATGTTGTAATTGTTAAGCTTTGAGAAAGAGCTGGGGAGATGGTGCTGGGGTGAGAAGAATGCATCTAAACAAAGAGGAGGACCCCGCGTGACACATTCCACAGACTGTTTAAAAACTTTACTCCTTCCAGTTTTCCACAAGTCTGGCTGCTTCTCCTAAGAAACGCTTTGTTTTGTGCCAGATTTTGGGTGTGACCAATTAGCAGTATTTTGAAAAAATTTCAGATAAAGACAGTTTCCTTTAACAGCTATGATGCTATTGTCCCAGTTTCCAGCACCACGCCAGGGAAGGGGAGATAAAGCAAGAACTACTGCAATGGGAGTGTCTCAGTTACAACCTACAGGAAGTATCAAATTCCTATTAAAACACATAGTGGCTAAATGGAACAATCCCACCCAGACATGGTGGGATTCACAGCAAAATAAACTTGCGATTCTATGTCTCAAGCATGATGTTTTTGCAGATTAAACTCCAGTTACCCTCTTATTAGCAGTAGTTTGCCAGCTGCTCTCCAGCAAAAAGTAGCTGCGCTTCCTGGGACTTCGAGCCTTGGGAACACGACGTGCCAGCCCTCCTGTGGTACCTGCCCAGGACACCAGAGGAAGCACTCACACCACGCCAGGGTGGGCTTCCAAAATTAATTTGGGATTTCTGACCCATTGCCAAACTGAAGGACTTGGGAAGTCTCGAATTATCAAATTTTGTGAAACACAGGAGGGAGGGATGGGAGGATACTACTGGAGTTGCCTGAAGTTTAACAGCAAGGGGAGAGGTCTTCAATGAGCTGGTTCACAACCTTTTCTCTAGAACACCTCTCCAGTCTTCCCAGTAAGGGTGCCAATTCCCATTTAACAGGTTTGGGTTTTTTCAATCTGACCCACAGGATGGATCTTTTATGCAATCTGCACAGACCCCAGCGACCCTTCAGTACGGAGCCCACAAACCACAGCGCCAACATTACTGCTTTGCAGCAGCTGACACTTGCAAGAGGCGTGGAATAACACCTCAAAAAACTTTTTTCTGAGGTAAGGCAGCTTTTTTTCCCCCCAACTTATATATAAGGGCATCTAGCTAAAACAGGAATATTCAGATAATTAGGTTGTGGTTTTTATCATTTTTTCCTCCAAATCCACTTAATCCTATCTCAGGAAAACTTATCACAAGAGCCCTACTAAATCCCCCATTTGTTCCACATGACCTCTAAATACAGACTACTCTAAAGCTCTCAAAACTCAGTCCAATTCGTCTAACCACATACTACACTTTCTATGCTTTCAGCAAGTTCCAACAAAAATTTCAAGTAATTATCTAGTCACAAGAAAGGTGTTTTGAACCTTCAGGCTCAGAAATGCAGCAGCAATTGTTAAGACAAGGTGTCCAAGTCCATAAACATAGTTATGGGCAAAATGTCAGCGCATAAATAGAAAGCTGTCCTTCCAGTTAAACTCTGTGACGCTCCTACAGTGTGAGAATGCTGATATAAAACTGTGCTACCAGGTGCAGTTATCACTAACACATTTTAGCTATATTATTAATTTAAACATAAATGTTTTAAAGAATCTCAACAGAAGGTAAAATCAACGTATCTGGCAAGGGGATGAAGTGTTTGAGCACTGCTCTCTTAGAAGACTGTAATTTGTCATACTGCCCATTCTTTACTTCCAAACACATTTAACATGGAGACACCCATTTGCTAGCTCTCTCCTTTTACTGTCAGTAATACTATAGCAAATTTTCTAAAAAGCATGCAACTGGTTGTGTTTTAGCAAAGCCAGCAATCAATACTCTCACAACAAAAGTTTCATGTCAAAAAATCAGCTTTTAGCTCACAAACCCCTGCAATGTTCAAAGGAAATTTTATATTTGAGGGAATGAAGCAAGAGGAGCGAATTACCTTCTGATCTTCAAAGAAAATACATGAGTCCTGACTCACAGTTTCTTAATCACTATCCCCACCATTTTCCATATGTTTAAAGAGCTTTAGTGTTAGTATTTCAAAAGAAAAAGATATCCTGTGCTGCTATCCGGGCCTGACAGGAGCCTCAGGACTTCTTACTATCCTTCTGTTGTTCAGACAACTATTCAAATCACACACGCCTTTTGTTCCACATCCTTTCTCAGTCGTGTAAGCTACAAGTTTTCACACTAATAAAATGTAGAAACATCTGGGCCTATGAGTAGATATTCCTCTCTGTTCTCTAATATTTTTCTTCAACCCCTCCTGACTTATTGTCACTGAAGAGGAAGGAAGGTGGTGCGAGGGATGCGGGGAGCAGCCCCTTACCTTCGCTGTCCGTGAGGACTTCCATTCGGCCACTGAACATGGCCTTGAGCATGGTGTCCTGCTTGGTCAGGGTCTGCATGGTGGTGTAGTAGAGAGCACCGCCAATGTTCAGCTTGACATACTTGGAGCTCGGACTCGTCCCTTTGAAGGAGGTCGTGCGCGTTGCAGCCGCCGGCACTGCTGAGCTCACCACACTTTCTCCCGACATCTCTTCCTGTGAGCAAAGTATTCCCAGTCAGACCCACAGTTCCACCCCATGACACCAAACTTCCTGCTACCATCGGTTATTTTACGCAGAAGCAGTCAGAGATATGCTGGGCATTATCAGCCTCTGCTCCCCTCTGCCTCTTCGTAAAGTTCTCAAATGTTTTAGACGTTTAAATTTGTCTTCTGACAGTGACATAAACCAAAGAATGTACAGCAGCTCAGGCAGTGAAAAATGACATGAAAGCTGAGCAGCATTTCACACTGTGAAAGCCAGTGTTTCCCCACAAAAACTGCACTCATTTCCTTCACAGCTTCTAAAGCTTAAGCTCTTTCTTCATCAGCACTCTGGTATGCAATTGGGCAATTCCCAATACACAGAACTTGAGCAAAGGATTCCGGTGTGTTAAAAAGCAGCCTATCTACAGATTTTCTTGAGGCTTTCTGTTCCTTATGGCACATGTGGCCCTATGGAGAGCACACACAAGCTTCCCACTCCCTTCCTTGCCCTCCCACGTTTCTCAGCACACCAAAACATACCCCGCTACCTCTGCCCGCAGTCCCCAGACAAAGTGGACTCCAGTCAGCTAACAGGGTCACACACTGTAACAGGAACACGTTAGCTTAGCACCGTAAGTGCTCAGAGAGCCGCTAACGATAAATCCTTAATCAAGCTGCATCTCCGTGGTTAACTGTTTTGCCTCATGACCTGACAGGAGGGATGATTAACACCCCGCCATCTCAGGCAGACCCAGGTCCTACAATTCCCAGAGCACGCTGGCTGACTGCTGTACTGAATGGTTTTGGCTCTGCTGTCATGAAAAGCTGAACTATCAGACCGCAAATCTCCTCCGAGCCACGGTTACGTGTCCACATTGCGTTTCCCAAGGTGAGAAAGCAGAACGGGCAGAGGCGGCCGCGAGGAACCGCTGCCTCTGCCACGGAGCCTGCCCTGGGCTCCCTGTTTTCTGTTTTTTTCCAAATCTCTCACCAGCCTCAGCCCCACACTCTGGGGCTAAACATCCCCAGTGCTCGGGCAGGATCGGTGCCTGGGGTCCCAGAGCCCAGCACCCTGCCACCCACAGGGCACAGAGCCCCCTCAAACGAGCCAGCCTGGGAGGACCCAACCCTCCCCACACACAAAAACCAGGCCGTGGGTACCTCAACTTTTGGGAGCCGGATGCCACCCAAGAACCGCTGTACCTGCTCCCGGCAACCCAACCTCGGTGAGGGGGCCGGACTACCCCCCCGCAAGCAGCGCCCTCACCCCCGGGGCCTGAAACTACGCGGCCCCCACTCCCCGCACACCCCCACCCTGAGGGCCGGATCCCCAAATCCTACCTCACTCCCCCCCCTCAGACTCAATCCCCCCGCCCGCCCCGGAGAAGGGCCCCCACCCGCCAACTCCGCCCGCGGCTGACCGGCCCCCGCACCCCACCACCACCACCACCCCCCCCTCACACGGCCCCCCCGCACCCCACCACCACCCCTCACACGGCCCCCCCGCACCCCAGGGCCCCCCCAACCCCGAGCCTCCCTCACCATGAACGGCTCAGCGCAGCCCCAGTGACCGAGCGAGCGGGAGCGCCGGGGCGGGGGGAACTTCCGCCCTCATGGCGTCACTTCCGCCACTGCCCGGGTGCGCCGCTCAAACCCTCCCGATTCCCCATACACCCCCCCCCTTCCCCGGGCCGCGCCGCGCTCCCCTCCCGCTTCGACCCGGTTCGGTTCCTCTCTTTTTTTTTTTTTTTGTTTGTTTGTTTGGATTTTTTTTGTAGGGCTGAGCCGAGCCTGAGGGTGAGAGGGAGGGAGAGGGCGGAACGGCAGCGGCAGCGCGGGTTGCCGGCCGGAGAGCGCGGACGCCGGGTACGAGGTGGGGGCTGCCGGGCAACGGGCGGGGAGCGGCGCCGGCCCTGCCGCCCGCGGCCGGTGAAGGCGATGGATGGCGGGCGGGGGTGAGGGCCCGGGGGCCGCGGGGCAGGCGCAGGGACGGGCAGGCGGGGCTGAGGGGCATCGCGGGGGGGTTGCAAGGTGGGTCCTGCCCCATCTCGGGTGAGTGGGGGGACGCTCACGGTGCGGCGGTTGCTCGGGGCCCGCCGGCGCGCAGGGCCCTGCGAGGGCTGAGGCTGCCCATCGCTTCTCTCATGCATCAGGTTGTTTGGTTTTGTTTGTTTCGTTTTTGTTTTGTTTGGGTTTTTTTTGTTTTGTTTTTTTTTTTTTCGGCAGGAGCTGTGTATGCCGGTGGTCGCAACTGAGCGGTGGTGCTGCTGCTCCTCCAGCTCTGCTGACTTCGCGTTTTCTCGAGAGCGTAGTGAGAGGTAAGTCTGGTCAAAAAGACTTAGAACTGCAACGGTAAAAGCTAAATACCCAAATCATCTGCGGGTGATGTGCTTATCCATGCAGGAGCTGCCTGAAGCCAGTGGATGAGGATCATGTTTGTGTATAAATGACTTTCCTGCAATTCTTCTGAAGAAATAAGCCCTCGGGTGAGTTCACTGTCGAGCTTTTATAAAGCTGTTGTTGACTCTGTGTGTTTTGTCGAATGTTCTTTGTGCCGTTTCTCTTGTATCCATGCCTATAGAATTGTTCTTATATGCTATCTCTAGAGAAGAAAACAAGAACAAGTAAAATTGTGAAGGGGAGTTGGAGTACAGGGATTGGAAAACAATGATGACACAATGCTTTATATTTTTTCTGCTTTTAAAATCTACTTGCCTGCACTAGGTTATGGGCTTTGCTGGAATGATTCTGATATCACTGTTTGTGTGTTCTTATTGCAGTCCCATTGACAAGTAACTCTGGCTTTGCCTAGGCTGTGTTTTGCATGCAGTCCTTGCTACGCTGTTGGGTGCTCCCCTTCCCCACTTAAATGTTGGATGCGGGTGGTCAATTCAGAAGTAATGTAAAGACTTACCCTTGCCTGTGCGTTTTGTCCACTCTGTTCCGAGTTTTCCAGGCGTTTGCTGCAATGATTCTTTGTTTCTTAAAATTTACGTTCTGGTAGGTTATAAAAATGTTCAGCGCGAGCCAGTCCTCCAAAGCCCAGTTCCTTGACAAAGCACGCCAGGCTCGGGAGGAGCGGAGGGAGCTGAAGGAGAGGGAGCGTGCCGCAGTCCAGGTCCAAGCTTTGATCAGGAGATTCCTCTGCCGATGCCGCCTGCAGAGGGAGATAAGGTGCGTGCAATTCTGCCTTCCAGCTTTGCTCTTATCTGGAGAGGTGTGCTTGATTTTTTTTTTTTTTTTAACTAGTGTCACTTGTTTTTTTTCCCCACTTTCCTAGGAGAGAAGTGGAGGATTTCTTTGGGGCAAATGAATCTGGCTCAGTTAAAAGAAGTGCTCTTTCCATCTTCAGAATTGCTAGGAAACTACTGTTTGTATTTAATCATAAAGAGGACAAAGAGGTAAGGTTGCTACTTTGACATGCGTTTCTTTTGAGGACATATTTTAACATGTTAAATACCTTTAGTTAGTTACTTAATGATCCTGTGGGTTCCTGCAATATATTTTGGCTTCAGAAATGTGATCTCTGTCTCCCTAGTCCTTCTTGGAGACATCTGCCTGTAGGAATGAAATAGAAGAACCCTTGAATTTTTTAGTAGTGGCTCCATATTCAGGGCATAGTTTAACAAATGTTTTTCCTGTTGACTCTGCCAACTTCAGTAATTGAGCAGTGTCTCTTATGATTTTGTCAGCTGCATTGGTTCCCCAGGCAGGTACATTGTGGCAAGCTCACCAAGAGCTGTCCTGGCAGAGCATAGTGTGCAGGCTGTTTGTATCACAGCTGCTTTTCTGACCATGCCCTGAATTTGTGGTTTCAGAGGAAAGCCCTTTGCTGTATTGTCTATGGAATGATGATATTCACCCCAGGAAACTGTGAGGGCTAATTATAAGGAAGACAATTGGAAAATGAATGGCTGTATTTAAATTGCAGCAGCAATGGGTGACTTTTTTTTTTAATCTCTGCTCCATCAAACTCCTGTTGATGATTCCGCAAGTGCTGCAATTTCAGTTTTCTGTATGTATAGCATAAAAAAAAAAAAGTGTATATTACATACAAATTTTTTGAGTGCCTGGCATCCATTCGAAGTTCGGCATGACAGTAATTGGGTGCACTGTTGAAATATGTCTGTTCTGCTTCCTTTTCTTCCCCTTCCAGCAACAAGTCAGTCCCTTACTGGGCTGAGGACTAGACTGTGCTCGTTTCCACTCTGTTTCTGGGCACTGCTCTCAGAATACCTGCAGCAGCCAATTCTGTAGCTCCAAATGGATTTCTAACTTGCAGTCATGTGGCAAATACAACTGGACTGAAATAATCATTCAGGAGTTGTGGATGTGATCTCTAAGTTCTGCTGAGAGCTGTGATGGTCAGGGTTTGGAACACACTGCTGCACTCATTGGTATTAATCCCTTCTAGCTGAACCCCAACAGGAAAATGCTTTTCCTGGCTTCAGCCCGTGCTGTTGAGGGAGGCATTTTAGCAGGGAAGGCTGAGAAGTTCCTCCTGTTGATGAGCACTGTGCTCAAGGGGAGGACTCTTCTGCAGAGCTGTAGCATGACAAGTAGACACGGGGAAGGAGCCATCAGCCCTGTCTGTAGGGAATATATTTGGAACATCTGTTGTTTTGATACAGAGGTATCTTGCTCCCTCTGCTGAGCTGTTCCTAGTGCTCTTCCAGAATAGCCCTTCCTGTAGTTAGAACTAATGCTACCTTTTTTTTTTCTTTTTTTTTTTTTTTTCCCCAGAGGTTTGAAAAGCTGTGCCGTTGTATTCTTAATAGTATGGATGCTGAGAATGAGCCCAAGGTCAGCAGGATTATTTTTTTGGGGGTGGGAGGGTCGTTTGTTTGGTTTTTTAATTCTGTGTGTGAGGATTTAGGTTGGTGATATTTTAATTCTTAGCTTGCAAAAGCCCCTGAACACTGTTGAGATTCCATGGTGAAAGTTTGGACAAGTTCTTTAGTATTCTGTTGATATTTTTACTCTGTATTACAGCTATAGGAGCTTACGGGCAATTTCTTTCTGTGGTGGGTGGTGTGCTTCGACCAGTGAATTGTGGGCAGAGAAATAATTTGCTTCTGCTGCAGGGTTCAGTGGGCACTGAGGAGGTCATTTTGTTACAAAGCTTCCTGGTAATGCATTCTGCTGATCTGTAGCACAAATACCAATCCTGCCTTCCTCAGGTGTGGTATGTGTCACTGGCACTCTCCAAGGATCTTACACTCTTGTGGATCAAGCAGATCAAAGACATTTTGTGGTTTTGCTGTGAATTTCTCAAGCAGCTTAAGGTAAATATTTTCTTTGCGTTTTGTCTCCCTGCATTTAACAGTTCTGTAGTGTGGCACAGAGCTGATTTGATTTATTAACATTGGTGTTTGTTATTGCAGCCTGACATCTTACAAGACTCCAGACTGGTCAATTTGCACCTCACAATGCTCGTCACCTTCACAGATACTTCTACATGGAAAATCCTTCGGGGAAAAGGTTGGTGCATCCAATTCAATACTTTTAAGCTACTGATCTGGGATTTGTTATTAAAATCTACTGAATGCTGTTTCTGCATGCTTTCTTCTCATGCTTACTGCAAAGATTTATTATGCCCCTGTGTTTGCACAAAGCGTAGAATGGGCAGCAAGGATTGCCTTGAGATTAGGCAGGCTGTTTCCCTTAGAACACCAACAGTTATGTTTTTATAATGCTTCAAAATCTCACACACAAGAAATGTTCAGAGGATAATGGAACGTGGTTTTTAGCTCTGGGTTTTTGTAGGAAATACGCATAGAAAAGGTAGACAAGTATCATGAGGAAAAATGACACTCATACCTTGACCAAGACTTGATGTGAAATGCTGCTAAAATGGTGGGGGTTGCATATAAGAGCAAGGACTTTGTGCAAGAAGGGCTTATGAACTGACAAACTGGTTTATAGTTTGTGTGAAGTAAGGAGTGGAGCTGTGATGCTGCTTTAGTAACATCAGTGTTTTAACCCGGAAGGTGAAACCCTGAGGCCTGCCATGAACCACATCTGTGCAAACATCATGGGACATCTAAATCAGAAGGGATTTTATTCTGTGCTGCAGGTCAGTCTTGGGCTGATACAGTTACATCTTCCCTTTATCCAAAACAAGCCCCAGTCCTCTGCTGTGGTCCTTGTTCTGAGGAAGTTTCTATGATTTTTGTGGTGGTGTGTCAGGAAGAAGCTGGTTGTGGAACACTGGTGATTTGTGTGCGGGCGTATTTTTCTTCAAAACACTTGAGACCAAATACAGTCTCCCTTTTGTCACTATCGCTGAGTCTAAATCCTACTTGATCAGCTCATAATGAGATGGACAGGAAGGACTCTTGAATATTTTTCCAAACTTTGCTGCTGCCCTTTTGTATGGATTTAGTTTGTTTACAGTTCTGAAGGGGAAAGGAATTGACCTAATCTTTTAAATGAGCAGCTATGAGCCTTGCCTGTTAATTTTAAAAGGCCTGGGAACCCTGAGTACAGATCCTAGAGAAATAAGTACTCTACAGTATCTGATTTGATTTCGGTTTCTCTGTTATACCATTATTAACCTGAAGCCCTTCTAGTTCTGCCAAACAGCTTGTAGTAACTGTTTTTTAGGTTTCTTTGCTGGTGTT